CGGCAGCCCTCCTGGGGCTGAGGCTGCTCGAAAATACTTCCACAAAGCGCCGAGCACAGGCCAGGCTGGGGGGATGGCTCAGAGCTGGAGTCTGGCAGTGGGGGGTTGCTGCCCAGCTCCGGCTGGGTGGTGCTCACCACTGCAGTGTTGCTGAGATGGGCAGTGGGACCTTCAAGCCAAGGCAATGGTTTTGCACAATAAAGTGCCTGCCTGCCAGCACCCTCCGTATCACATACCCGGACACCGCAGCCTCCCGAGCTGGTGTGAGCCCCCAGCCCAGCGCTGGCCTGGGGCTTCCTGGCTGCAGGGAGCATGTTGAGCATGCCTGTGGCTTTAGGGTGTCATCGATGGACTACTGGGGTCTGGTGGCAGCTGTGGCTGCTGCTGGCAAGGTAGCACTGACTTCCCAGACCACAGGGCTGAGGCTGAGCAGGAGGCACGGGTGGGCTCTCGTGGGGCAGAGCCCCTGCCTTGGGTGTTCCCTGGGAGGTCTGACTGGAGAACGCAGCCCTGCAAGCCCCTTCGTGCATCTTTGGAAGAGAAACCTCCCAATGCTGATAGTTATGGAGCTGGCTCACCCTGCCCTGCAGGTGAAAGGGAAAAATTAAAATATCTACAGCCTCCAGCCCCGTCCCGGCCTCCCCCAGCTGCACCTTATTGCAGGGCACAAGAGCCTGAAAGGCTTTTCCATAGGCATGTGCTGGAGATGACTTTTCCCTGCCCAGCCCCATTTACATTAATGAGGCATTTAACTCCCAAACCTGTTTGTGGACCCCTGCAATGTCACCCGGTGTGGAAGGGGGCCCCCTGGGCAGCCTTTAACCCCATCAGTGCTGCCCAGCTGTGTCTGCTGGGAGCAGCTTTGGGCAGCCACCCCTTCGCTCCGAGGGATGCTGGGGTTACCCCTCCAGGCTGATGTCCCCGGGTCGCAGCACCCCAGGGGGCTGGGGGAAGCTGAGCCTTGGCCAGCTGGGGTTGGGAAGGGGCTGGGCCGCCTCCCAGATGGGTTTTCCAAGGAATGTGTGACTTATTGTTCATTGTCATATCCTGGGATCGTTCATTGTCACATCCTGGGCAGTTTTCCATCCCAGTTGCCTGCGAGGTTGCATGCTCCCATTTTTCTCTGGATTACCAGGTGAAAATCTGTCTGATAGGGAAACCACACACCCTTTCTGCACTTGGCCATCCCGTCTTCGAGTGACTTCTGTGCTGGGTGTTGATGCCAAGCAGTGAAACGAGCAGCGTGAGGGTGACTGTCTGTCTTGTTTTCCACCCAGGAAAAGCCTTTGCCCAGCAGTTTTGATTCTCAAAAGTCCTTAAGCAGCAAGTCCTGCCTCTGGAATTTGTTCCTGCACAGCTGCCGCTCTCACCATGGTTTTCGCAGCAAGCGTTTGCACCCTTGTGCCAAGGGAGCTGGGAGCACTGGGGAAGCCACCAGCTGGCAAGGCCAGCAGCGGGACCGATGCCGGCTCTGTAAATGTTTCCACCACAGCTCGCACAGACCAACCTCCAAACTCCTGCTGGCAGGACGAGCGCCCACGTAGCCTTTGCAGTGCTCCTTGGGGGCATCAGGCCAGGCTGGTGACTACAGAAATCAGGCACCCACGAGCAAAACGCCTGAGCTATTTGGGTCAGGGTTGGTAGAGAAGTTTTCTTGGAAAAAAACAGATTTGGTCCGTGCCCCTGAAGGCTCCTATGGGGCAAATGTGCATGAAGTGAGACAAAGCTGGCCTGGGTCTGGCCAGCCGACTCTGCGATGTGGTGTAAGGAGGTGTCCACTCCCCAGCAGGACAGAGAAGGGCTGGCAGGCTCCGTGTGTTTTCAAACCCTGTTTCTGTCTGGGCATCACTTGCTGGGAGAGGCACTAGTGGATTCCTGCCGCCCGGCAAACCTCTGTGCAGCTGGATTCTCCTCCTCCGGGCCCCCCCCTGCAGCAGCTCCTCCGTCACCCACAACTTTCTCCCCTCTGGCAGCGGCTGCTGCTGGGTGCTGCGGAATTGCTGAGCGAGGTTTGCCTGCTGCGTCTCCTCTGCTCCAAAGGGCTGATGCTGGCGTGCAGCCTTTCCTCCTGAGTCACTGGTACCTGCCTGCCGCAGGTTTCGATGCCTCTCCCCAGCCCATCCCGTGTCCCGGCACCGAGGCAGCACTGTGCCTGCGATGCTGCCCATGCCTTCCCTGCATTTTCAGGTACCGCAGCCGCTCCCCTGCAGCCCCGCTGTGCCAGCGAGCAGGGGGCTGCCTGATCCCATGCCCTGCCCAGGGCTGGCCGGGCTCCCACCGCACACCACCAGTCTCCCAGGAATGCTGTCCGCATGGGAAGAGCCCGGGGTCCCCACCTGACCCCCAGAGCAGCATCAGCAGGGATATTGCTGAACCACAAATTTTACTGCCTGTTGTTCCCATAAACTCCAAGCTGAGTTTCTCAAAGGCTTTGAGTTTACGACATTTAGTGTGTGTCAGACCTGATTCTCATACTGTCCTGGGTAGTTTTCTGTGTTTAAGATGACTCAGGATTTCAGCAGGGTTCGGTATTTAATTCACGATGAAGTAATCCGGTTCTGTCACTACTCCGTGGCTTTCTGCCTCCTGAGGATTATTCACACAAGGAGGAAAGGTGCTGTGCCTGCCCCGGGAAGTAAATGCAAAAAGCACCTATGGAAAACCTGTGTTTTTCCAAAGAGTTTAAAGTTAGTGTTCGTGCCAAAGAGCTCCTGGCAGGACCATGTCCCGGGGTGTCGGCCAGAGAGGCCTTACAGGCACGCTGCAGGGGAATGCTACGCTTAGCGGCCTTGCTCTCAATCAAGCGATTATTTTCCATATTAGACCTGCAGTTATCGGGTAGAAAGCCTGACCAGCCCATACAACTGCTTTCTTGCACAATTGGCACCACTAGGTTTATTTTAAAAGGTGTTTGTTTTGCTCTGGGATGCCTTTAAAAATACAAGGCTTTCTAAAATTGCCATGATTTGAAGTGCCATCTGCTTTACCGCTCCCACCGAGGTCTGGCTTCGCTCTAACAGATGCGTTACTGCAAGGCTTTGTCTGTGTTGCGAATCCACAGCTACCCCAGAGAAAGATCTGGGAACCAGCCTGCGGCATCTGCACGACACCGCCTCTGGCTGCCACCGTGGCGGGAATTGTGGCCGCTGCCGAGCATCAGGGACATGGCTGCCCTCCGAAGCCGTGTCCCCTCGGCCCGCCTTGAGCTGCACTGGCTGCTGGCACCTTCCCCAGCTGCAGGACCTGGGTGCAGCATGATGCTCCAGGCTGCAGCTGCGGGGGTTTCCTTCCTTTCCAGGGGGCTGATTGCATGATTAGCACCTCCTGAACTAACCCCGCTCTTGGTGCCAGCGGGCTGCTGGGAGCAGAGATGGGTCACTTGAGCAGCCTGAGAGGAAGAGGAGTCCCTGTGTGAGCGGGCTCGGCAGCAGGAAGATGTGCTGGCCCAGCAGCAAGCTGAGGTCCCATGGCCCCTCCTTGGTAGAAGAACTAAGTGAACCTTGCAGGTCCTGCGGAGAGCAGCTGTCTGTTCAGCATTGTTGTCCACACAGGTATGCCTGAGGAACAGGGGAACCGTGGTACGTCCCACTCAGCAATGTTTGCTTGCTTTTTTTCCCTGGGAGATGTTTCCCCCCCCTCCCAGTGTTCAGGGGAGGGCTGTGCTTTGGAAGAGTTGGAACAACCCTTGGTACCCACCCAGGCTGGGGGATGAAGGGATGGAGAGCAGCCCTGCCCAGAGGGACCTGGGGGTGCTGGGGGAGGAAAAGCTGGCCATGAGCTGGCCATGTGCACTGGCAGCCCAGAAAGCCAACCTTACCCTGGGCTGCATCCCGGGCACCATGGCCAGTAGAGCAAGGGGGGGGGGGTTGTTCATCCTGGAGAAGAGAGGGCTGCAGGGGGACCTTATTGCAGTCTTTCAGTACTTTAAGGGGGCCCAGAGGAAAGATGGGGACAATCTTTTTAGCAGGGCTGGCTGTGACAGGACAAGGGGTGATGGTTTTAAACTGAAGCAGGGTAGGTTTAGCCTGGATATAAGGAAGAAATCTTTTACCATGAGGGTGGTGAAACCCTGGCAGGGGTTGCCCAGAGAGGGGGTGGAGGCCCCATCCCTGGGAACATTCCAGGCCAGGTTGGACGGGGCTGTGAGCAGCCTGGTCTGGTTCAAGGTGTCCCTGCTCCCTGCAGGGGGTTGGGGCTGGATGGCCTCTAAAGATCCCTTCCAACCCAAAGCATTCTGTGATTCTATGACCCTAGCGACTATCTGTGTCTGGAAGGAGGCCCTTAGGTGTCACTGAGCCAAACCAGCTCCTATATAAAGAAGCAACAAACTGGAAAGGAAGGAGCTTGTTGTAAGACATTGCCTAGCTCTGAAGTTTGCTGTTCTTTCCCCTGCTGCTGCAGTCACAACAGCTCATGCCTGCAACACAGGGGGAGGTGGCCCGGGGCGCACATGCCTTTTGGAGTCTACCCCAGGGTTTTCCTCCAGGTCTGTTCTGCCACTGTTGTAAATGGGGCAAGTCCATGTCATGAGAGCCGTTATCTGCTGCTGTATTAGAGAGGTGATGGGGACAAGCAACTGTTTGCTCTGAGCACTGCGCCTTCATGGGTTTGAGAAGGGGCTCTGAGGCAGACCGAACCCCGTTCTCTCTTATCCTCTGGTCCCCAAAGGACTGTCCCGGAGTGGAACTGCCTGGAGACGTCAGCGGTTCCAGCATTTTCAGTCACCTTGCTGGCTAATGCTGCTTTCCAAAAGGCTTTTTCACCATGCACAGGCTTGCTCCCCCAGCCAGGGCCAGCAGCGATGCAGGCAGCCCCACCTCCACAGGGGGCCCGGGGCACCTGGCAGCCCCAGGGCAGGCACAGGCAACTCCCGTCATCTCCTGGGATGCCTGCATGGAATTGACTCCCAGACTGCTGATTTAAAAAAAATAATAAATGCAAGCAGTTATTCAAAAATATATCTTTATTTTCTCAGTTTATCAGCTCTTTAAATAGTCCAGTTAAAATATGTTTTATTGCACATTAAAGAACCTTTCTGGATTCTCACTGTCCTATAAAATAAGCTTATATAGAGAAAGAAAAAGAGAGACTGTCTTACGCTTATACATGTGCACACACACACATGCTCTCAACCACTCTTGCTCTACAAAAACCCTAAGCTGCTGACCCGGCATAGGCTACGTTCATCCTCAACGTCTGTAGTGTGCTCTAGGCAGCTAAGAGTTGGCTGTGGTGGGGAAAAAGGCAGGCGCAGGGCTGGGAGCAAGGGGAAGGGCGCTGCCACTGCAGCTGGGTGCCCTGGAGGTCTCTCCACAAGCGCTGTGCAGACGCTGGCAGCAGCCTCTGGCTGGCCTGCGGTGCAGGGAGGGCCTGGTGCGATGGCAGTAGCACGGCACGGTGCACAGCAGGCAAATGCAGGGTGTTGACATGGCACGGTGGAATGGGGGGGTGGAAGCAAGGTAGACAGTGTAGCAGTGGGGCAGGTGCATCCTCCGGCTGCCTCCTGTCCGGGCTGTGTGTGGAGCCCAGGGCAGCTCCAGCTGCTGCTCAGACCCACATGGCTCCGTCCCCTCCCAGGCACCAGGGCACACAGCTAGGGGCAAGTGGGGTGGCTGCAGGAGGGAAGTCGCTGCCCAGGGCTGAGCAGGAAAAGGAGCAGCCAGCTCTCTTTGAGGCTTCTGGGAAGCTGAGGCCAGGTGCTGCTTGACAAGCTCCTCTGAGGTTATGCTTAATGGCCAGCTGGAGCTATGTAAGATGAAACAAGCTCACAGAGCACGCAGTTCATTATTGTGATCTGAATTAGATTTCCTGCCCTTTTTCAGATGTTTCTTTTGGGATGACCCAAGTTCTCCTACTCAAGCTGTGTAATAATTTGCTCTACAAGCACATCTCCGGCTATCCTAACTTTTCATCTTGGAAAGGACAGGTCCTCAGGCCACCTTTGGAACCAGGTTCCTAATCACAATTCAGCTTGAGAGCTTTCCTTCTATCCAATCTGTGCTCTTCCCAAACCTCTGTCATGCTCCTTCCTACAAACGTCATGCTGCATTCCTGAAAGCCCTGGGTTTTTCCCACAAGTCAAGCCACACAGCAGAGAGCAATTAGCGTTAATACTCAATGTGGCATCAGTCTTCTGCTGTGGAGTAATTCCTGCCCACTTACAGTGGGGCGTGTGCAGTTGGTGGCTAATGTATGCCTCTGTCTGGCAGGACTTCCCAGCTCAGTCCCACATCCTGCTCCAGCCATCTTCTGCAATGATTAACTTGAGAATTGATGTTGCTTGAGGTTCCTAATGTCTCTGAGCCCTTGGCTTTTGTGTCTGAGCTTTGCTCAGAGAAGCTTTGACTGCAAGTTCAATCCCTGAATAAGGGTCTGACCCAACAGCCCTTCAGTGCTCGTTTGGATGTGTGCCTTTCGCCCCGGACGCGTGGGTCCAGCACCCACCTCTTATTTTGGCACCTGGATGGGTGGATAAATAAGCGTCAGTGTTGCCCAACCTCTAGCGTGTCAGGCAGCTGCTCTGTGAACGCAGTCTCTAGCCGCAAAGTGCTGTAATTGGGGGGGGGAGTCCTGGGCAAGGGGTTGTCCTGGGGCAGTGGCAGGCGGAGGGCGGTGTTGAAGGTGGGCAGGTCCTCATCGATGCAGACAGGGTTATCATGGCCCTGCCTCTCCAGATTGCTGGCCTGCGGTGGCTTCCCTGACCGGACCCTTTTTCGGTCGTTCCACCATTTCTTTGCCTTTTGCCATTGGCGCCGCATCACAATGGAAAGCGAATCGATGAAGAAGACCTCGACGATCTCAATGACACAAACGACTGAGCAGCTCATCCAAAGGCCCAGCTGGCCTCCAAAATTGGAAAGAAGAATGACAAGCTAGAAGAGAAGAGAGCACAAGGTTATCAGCTCCTGTGGGTGCTGGACATGTGTCCACAGCACTGCTGCAGTGTGCAAGGAGGCTGCACCAAGCTGGGGCACCCAGGGTTTGCTGTGAGCGGTACCAAACGCTGTGGGGCCTTCCCTTGCTGCCTGTGTTATCTTCTCCTGTTCTGCTCCAGCGGCAGCTTGCAGGTTACCCCAGTGCAGAGCTTGGGACTGGATGGTTTGAAAAGCAGCCCTGGATAAAAGGGCAGCAAAGGGCAGGACTGGGCGCTGCAGGGTGCATCATCCGTGGACGGTTTCCCGCCCCTGCCTGGATGGGACCACCCCTCTGGCAAGATGAGAGCTTCCAGCCTGTCTGGGAGGAAGAGCCGCATCTTCCCGGTGCTGAGCAGGGAACCGCTGCGCTCACTTACCGTGTTGGCAGGATTCTCTGAAATGAATCTCTCGTTCAGGTCTTTGTAAAACACCATGAGGTTTGCGAGGTCCGTCCTGAGAGACGGAACAGAAGGCAGGCTGAGGGTTTAGTAAAACAATAACATGAAACATACTGAAAAACTATGCAAATAACCAGTTGGACCAGTAGGGCTGGGCCGCTCTAAGGGAGCTTTTTCCCCAATTGCCATCATTAGGGCTGCCGAGATTGTATCTGAGCTTGAGGTGCAAGCTAGAAACACATACGTGGAAACTTACTTGTTCAGCTTCTTGTTGATTTTTTGTCCTTTGTCCCAAGAGAGAACTCGAAGCATCCAGTCCTGGAAGACAGACAGAAAATACTGCTGTGTAGCAGTGTGCGCTTGTGTAGAAAACCCCTGGAAAGGGAGCTCATGCTCCACACCTCCTCGGACCAGCTTGGGCACCGGAATTGAATGTGTGTGACGGACCAGCTGTCCCCGAGGGGATCTCCCAGCCCACAAGCCAAATCTTAGTTTAATGGTGAACTGCTGGAGGGGAAGCCCTGACCTGGACACTACAGGCTGAGCCTCTGGGAGGGCGCCCACTCCTTGAAGCTGCAAAGAGACACAGGCTGTCAGTTGTCAGCTCGAACTCCCACGCATGTGCAGCATTTTTACCTTGGGTTGTGGGCAGGACTTACCTGCAGGCGTCTTTGCAGATTTGCTGGCAGCCCAGTTGCTCCTTCACGAACTTTTCGTGCAGTCTGTAGTAGCAGTACACTGTGAGAAGGGAGCAGGACATGCATGTGAGAAGCCGGAAAGAAAAGCAATGATTTGCTACCTCTGCCAGAGTGGGGCTTCTGGGGTGTAGGTGGCCTTTGTGGCCATCACCTATGTGGTGGGGATAAAGAGATCTGCCCTATAAATATTGCAAAATGCTCTGAGAAGTGGCTGTCGCTTGCTATAGGCATGAACAATTGCCTCACCCTGTCAAGTCCTCCACTCAACACTTCTGTGGTGTGCACAAATGACAAGCAATTAGGACAACTGTCAGAAACAAGTCAATCTAAACAAGAGAGGCGGTTTCAGGCTCTGTGGTGTGGGGTCTTAAGTGGACTAAGGCAGATTCGCCTCTTCCCAGCGTGCTGTGGTGCTGGGTCAGGCCATGCTGTGCCAGCCAGGGACGGTGCTGTGGAGGGATGTGGCTGGCAGTGGGCGGCTGAGGCAGGTCCCGTGTGGGAGGTGTTTGAACACTTACTCCAGTTGGGATTTTTCTTGTAGTTGCAGTATTCTGCCCCAGCAGGTAAGGGCTGTGCATACTGGGCGCAGCCACAGGAGTCCACCATGGCCTTCTGAAAGCAGGAGTGCAGGCAAATCTGGGGGAAATAAGCCAAGAGCTGGTGTCTGAGAAGCACAGGCTGCTGTGTTTCCGCAGTGCTGAGCTCCAGGCTTGCGTGCACCTAAAAGCATCCTGTGTTTATGATAGTAGCAATAAGATGGGAACCTGTTTCCCTGGGCCTTCAGGCTCTGTTTTTAGTGAATACAAATGCAGGCAGAAAGTGCTGCGGAGGGTTTAGTGCAAGAAGGAATACAATCCTCTCCCAGGGGGGTTCTGTGAATGCCCCCACTTCCCCTATAGCTGTCAAAAGCTTCAGTGTTGCACTTGCTCTTTCCACAGTCAAGGAGGTTTTCAGTCTGCCATAGCATGCAGGCCATGAATCAACAACTAGGTGTGGGACGTGACTCACTAGTGAAAATGTTCACAGCTTCGACCAAATTGTGTTGGTGCATATTTGGAAACCTGGAATCGTAGGGATTAACAGGGCAGTAGAGTCAGTGCTTTGTGCTACAACACTTCACCGGCTGGAACAAGCAGGAACTGAACCTCTCTTTTTGAAATCCCAGTTGTCAAGCCTTTTGGTCCCAGTCCCAGCCCTCCTAAGCCCTGAGTTTCGGTGAAATACTGTTATTAAAACCCTGAGATGATGCCTGTGTGATCCTACCTGGCAATGCATCACAACAGATTTCAGGTATAATACCCCATAAAATAAAAACCCAGCCGAGGCACAGGCTTTGCAGTAGGCAGCAGCAAATATAATTACGATTCTTCAAGTGGAGAGCTCAGGAACAACTGACACTCTCCAAGTGGACCCAATTACAGAAACCATGCAAAATTAGTGGAAACTTACTCTGTAAACAAACATCCTGCTATCTGGATACTGATTAGATGGTATCTGTTATTCTTGGAGTCCTAAAGGTCACAATTTCTGGCTTCAAGGGTTACTAAGCTGCAACATTTACTTGGCCAATATTTTCCAGTCTCACATTGCTTGAAAATTGCCTAATGAGCTAATGTCCTCTCTTTATCTGACAGGGCGCCTAAGGGAACTTCAAACATGAACCACTTAGGAACAAAACTTGGATTTTTAAAAAGTGCTGTGGTATTTTACATCAGTGGTTAAAAGCAGCGACTTTGTGCCTGGGCTGTCCACAGTCTCAGATCCTGAACTACAGAATGTTGCACAGCTTTTTATGAAGGTAGCTTTCAAGCAACTGATAAAAACAAAGGTAACAGACTTACCTGGAGTGAGTAGCTCTTGTTGTAGAGGTTTTCTACTGGTATGTCAGCACCTGTCTCCGTACAGTCACTGTAGGGTTTGCTCAGCTTGCGAGACCGAGTCTGAGAACCAGAAAAGAACAAATTTTGGGTTTTGGAGTTCACAGAGAAGTGGAAGGATTTAGTGGCAGTTCATCACGATTCTGAAACTGTAAGTGCTGGGGCAGGTTTGAACAGCACATTTACGTTTTGCCATCTCAAATGATTTGTCAATAGCTTGTCAAAACAAGGGGTTTTTTGGTTTGTAATGTCCGTTTTCCAAAACGTTGTCTGGATTATCGGCGGTCTTTGTTGAAAACCTCTGCAGGAATGTAGAGATGGTATAATCCTTTATTCATATGTCTGCTTTCTCTCATTGTGAAGTCCTATAGGCGATGCATCGTTTGTCCTGGCTGTGTTTGTGTTTTGAGGGAAGGGAGGTGGTTGGTTTTGTTTGGTTTGTTTTCTGTGAAGACCCACACCTTCCTGAGCTGTTATTGCAAGGGCTGCTCCCGTTCTGTGGGTGAAACAGCACTTCAGGCTCCGCTAATGCTCAACACCACCTCTCTAAAATCACTCTACAGCAAATGTTTGTATCTCCTTCAGGACTTTTTCCATGTACTGCTTTGACCCTTCCTCTGTGATGAATGCTGACGCCTTTTCCTGTTCTGCAATCTCGTCTAGAGAAAAGAGCTCTGAAATGCCAAGTGCTGTGCCTGCGAGGTCTGCTGAAACCAGGGCTGGGAGCCCTCAAATTCACAAGACCCAATGCAGGTCTGTGAATCGTCTGCTTCCTGCAGACTGTCCTACCCCACTCAGCCCTGCACTAGTACTATCTGCAGTAATTACCCACTTAATAACAAAGAAAGTGGCCTGAAACCACAAGAAACGTCACGCATTTAAGAATCCTTTCACCTATCTTTCTCTACAGAGTTTAAAATTAGGGGCTGATCCTACAAAGGATCAATTTAGCAGGAACCTGAGAAATGCCTGCTTACCTTTAAGGCTCTGCCTTTGCATCGACAGGTTACTGGGGTCAGACCTGAGCGAGCATTACCATTTTTGTCTGCAGCAATGGAAGGCCACAGGCATGTATGGTGCAAGTCAGCTCTTTGAGAAAGATGCTCAAATCTCTCTTTGAAGGCAACATAGAAATATGTGATTTCAGCATTAGAGATGGATTACTTCTGAAAACTGAATGAAACCAGCTTTTAATATGCTTTTAACTTCCACAGATACTTTAATGCCAGGACACCTGCCTCAGCCTGCTGCTGTATCTCTTCTAGCAGATGATAGATCCTTTGTATAGATTTTTTGGTTTTTTGTTGCTGCTTATACTCCTACAAAAGCTTACTTGTTCATTCAGGTACTGAAATAATTTCCAAGCTAAATATTTAACTAAAGCACTGAAACTCCTACCAAGCAATGCCTTGTTTGCATTCCAAACATCTTGGAATATTTTTGGAGGCGGGGCGGGGAGCATGCAGCAGAAATACATGAGCAGTAGGTAACCTAGACACTGATGTCTACATTTGAAAAACAGCAATTGCCACGCTCAAGCCTCTGGTGAGCAGTGTTGTGTGTGGCACACGTCTGCTGTGTCCTCCTTCATGGATTTTGGTACAAGGACTGATCTGGCACCTCGGTGGTGCAGCCCTCTCCTGGCAATTGGCTCTCTGGAGTCTTCCTTTACTGGCAGTACAGTGATCACCAGCTTCTGTTTTGAGTCCAGAAACTGCATCCAGCCTCTATTTTGGCTGTTACCTTTGGATGCAATCAGATAATTTCCTCATGTCAAATCTTTTAAACTGAGATATGTTCAGTCTTGGTTGGTTTTTTTTTTATACTATATGCAACAGTCCTAATCTACTGTGCCAGGAAAATATTACATTAAACATCAAGACTCTGCCTGCAGTGACTTTCTCCTGTACGCTGTAATAGTTATAAAGGAAATAGTCTTGTGAGACTTTGCCTCCTTAACACTGTTCTGGTTCCGATACCTTCTGTTTACTTTTTCTTTGTTAGGTAGCATTCATCCCCACTGCTTAGACCAAGCAGGTGCTGCCAGAGTTCTCCAGAAAGCTGGAAGATAGTTAACTATTTGCACATTTTAAAACCATCAGCCCTGTTTTTAATGTCTTTTCTAATGCGTGGACTATCTAGATCTGGCACACCCAGCCAGGACAGATAAGCCGGCTGGCTGATGCATTTGACCCAAACCACCAGCAAAGAAAAGGCAGAGCTAAAATGCTCACTTAACAGCCCATCCAGATGAAAGGGGAAAGTCTGGCTTGCCTGATGGCACTGCTTTCACTTCTCTACCACGGAAAGAAGCCCCTTGGGTCAAATGCTTGTCTGCACTATGCTAATTGGGGAAATTCGGAGCTGCAGCCCTCCTGGCCCTTGCTGACAGCAATGGTGAAACGCTTCACTAGGCTGGCAAAGGCAGAGTCACTGCCCACGAGGTTTTCTTTACAGCTGGGATAGCAAGGAACCCAGAAAAACAAGCCTTACACCCACGAGACAGTTAAACGGGTTGTGCTGCAGTCGCCCCTACAGACCTGACCCTAATGTGGGTTTACCCACAGCTCGAGCTCCTTCTCTTCTGCCTGTGGAACCTGCGTGGGATGCAAACTCGTCTGCTTATTGCTAAAGCGAAACGGGGCACTTGACAACACATTTCTGTGGTTGCGGATTTTGCTGTGAAAACAAAATTAAAAAAGCCCCCCCAAAAGCCAAGGGGTCAGAGAAAAGGGAGAACAAGCAAAATCGCAGTAGCTGTTTGGTTTATAAAGACCTGATTTTTCCAACAGCCTCTGCACAAAGGAAAAGTTTGTTCAGAAAAATGCTATCACAGGATTTTCCTTGGGGTGCTTCAGCTGCTCAAGTGTGAGGTATCAGGTGCCTTCCAACTGCTGGCTACATTCAAGCATCGTATCTGTTCATATTTACATCGGTTTCAAGGAAACGGTGCCGTGCACCTGGAAACAAGATTGCTGTCACTCACAAAGTGCATCCCTATGGAGGTGGCCGCTGCAGTCTCGATTTCTGTGCCGATGTCTTCGATGAAGGGATATTCGTTTTGGTCGTGGACAATGATCTTGGCTCCTGTGGATGTCACCAGGAAGGGGTTGTAGTCTGCTTCGTCTATAAACAGAACAACCTGCAATCCTGAAGAACAGAGACAAGGCAGGAGCAGAGTTACACCACAAGCCAGAGCCATTTTTCCTGGTAAGGGAGGGCAACACAGTGTACTTAATATTATCTGGCCTGAAGTAGAACTGTAACAGCAAAGCAAAGCCTTTGCAGCGCTAGACTGAGACCCTTGCAGCAAGCAATGTCCCTCCGCAGCCCCAGGTACAGCAAACAAATAATGTCTCTGTAGAACATGGCTGAAACCTACTTCAAAAAGTTATATAACTGGGAAGCAGTAATTTCAGATGGAAAACATTAGTGATGCAATGATATTATCTCTGTATTCTCTGGCAATAGTTTGCACTAGTTCAAACAAGCATTTCCCCAATCAGCTTGCACATCTAGAGCCAACACATCAATCACTCTCCAGCAGGATCCAGTTCCCGGAACCGCTTGTTATCTAATAGTTCCTCTGCAAACTGGGTTTCCTTACCGTACTCGCTGCCTCCCGTGGAGGTGCTCAGGATCGTCCCGTTTTCCCCACTGTTGAAGGTATAGCAATTGCCGTGCAGGGGATGATGGAAACGAGTGAAGTGCCTGAAAGAAAGCAAATATTGTTACATTGCCCTCTGCAGTTTTAACTGTCTGTGGGAGGAAATCAGCAGATTTGGGCTTTTTTGTTTTGGCAGAGACATAGCAGGACTGGATGTTTTTTTTTTTTTTTTTTGGCAAGCAATTTATTTTGCTGAAAAGCGTGGGTCTTTTTCTTAATATCTTGAAACTACATGGAAATATGACCTGGTTTAATAGCATCAGCAAATGAAAAGTTTAGGAGGTTTTCATGTGGAAATGGGGGCTGAGAGGGTGGGGGAAGCAGATTTACAGAACCAGCAAGAAGATGGCGGTGGAGGGGGCAGAGCCCTCTCTCAATTGACAGCCAAGTCTCTAAAGGAACACGCATCTTCATTTTTCAGAGAAGATGTCATAGCCGCTGCCAGGCAGGGGAGGCTGAGGACACACCCTCCCGATTCAAGCACATTCATATCTTTCCTGTGAACATCCCCTCCCACTCAAGCAAATGTCTTCATCCCAAGAAAAGATGTTACATTTGCACAATTTGACCCACATGAGCAAAATGCCTTCGGTCACGAGAGTTACAGTTGCAGCTTGCTTTGCGCACGGCGGTGGGGAAATTGCTAAACTCCTGTGCAAGTGCAATCTTATCCCCACAGCTGCACGGGGGAACTCTGCCGTTATCCCTGGTACAAAGGGATGAGTCTCTGCTACCGGGACAGACAAGAATTGCACTGCCACAGTCACAAGCAGGTAGATTTGATTCTGCCAAAACCCCATGGGTTTATCTGAAATGCGGACAACGGAACACCAAGCCAAAGAGCGTAATTAAAGTTCACGAAGACGCAAATGTTTGCTTTAATTTAAAAATGGAAATGGTTCCTGCTGGAATTCAGCAAATACCAAATATTCAGTTCCTATGTGCTATGTACTTGGAAATAAGCTGTTAAGCTGGCAGGTATTTTCTGTGCACTGACCTTTTGTCACAAGATAGGCCATCAAAGAAACATGTCAGTAGAAGGTCATCTGCAGAATAACTCAATTTTTCTTTAGTCTCCAGGGGAATTTGTGCCATGATGTTCATGTAATGCAGCTTGTACCATTCTTGGATAGCATTAACACCAGAACTGAATGTATAAAGTGCACACTCACTGCTGTTGTTTGCATCGCACTGATAATTACAAAGGGGAAAAAGCATTTCAGAAGAAGTGAAATTACGTATTCTACAAGGTATGTGTGATACTGTTTCTCTTCCACAGGAATAACCACCTATGGAGTTATAGTAGCGCAAAGGGGACAAAGACCAAGTGATATGGTCAGACGTTTCAGGCCCACAGGACAGGCACTAAGGCACTAAGTCTATTTTGGGCAGACATCAGGAAGGCATTTCTCTCTCCAGAGAGCTGGAGGTGAATCTGTAAGCAGCCATGGAAGCAGGGCAGAATGGGCAAAGGAGTGGAGGGAGTGGTATTTCCCTATAAAGCCACCTAAGCAAGCAATAAAACTGGCTAGAGGGATACCAACCCCAAACACCCCCTCGTTGCCCCCCAAGGAACTTGCTGGCCAAAGAAGAGTGACACTCACCAGCTGAAAGCCAATGATATCATTTGAATCCCCGGAGTTCACTATGGATGAATCTTTGTGAAAGACGCTGCCCTCTATTTTCCTCTTCTGGCCACTGCGAAGGTCGATCACTGTCTTAGAGAAGTCCTCAAACTTCAGCAGAGGGATCTGTTTGAAGAAGTCACTCCCTGTGCTGTTCCGCTCATCCACTGACCGGCGCACCTTGGACTTGCCCTCGGAAAACCCGTAGAAAGTCTCCAAAGCTTTTTTGGTCTCTTTGTCCAATTCAGATAAATAGTCTTTCATGGAACTGTACCTGCATTGGAGACAATGTGATAGAAAGTGACGTCCCATCTCCCCTAAACACCTAGCTGCAGTGTTTTGCCCGCTGCACTGCAAATCTCATTGCTCAGGACAGAATTCTCTGTCGCAGACTCACACTGATCTCTCTTACTACCACAACAGTTCACATCGTCGAGGGCAGACACAGCCATACCCATGGAGAGATCTCAAAGCATGGACTGTAAGAAGCAAAGCAGACTGAACTACAGACAAAACCCTCGCAGACTCCCAAGCTCCTTGGAGGTTGCGTTAGCAAGCCCGAGGAGCCAGAGCATGTGGAAATAAGAGAGCTGGATTGCCCACGGGGACTGGGGTGGGCAGCTGGCAGCAGAACAGACATCAATGTAAAGTGTAATTTGGCAGGAGAAAAAGTATTGTTGATTGAGAATGTCAAAGCATCCTATCAGGAAAGAAAGAGGCAATGGAGGAGCGACAGATGTTCCCTTTCCATTCTTCAGGAGATGCTGTTGTTTGTAATCCCAGAACTTTGGTCCTGGGAAGAAGGGAATTTGCAGAGAACTAGGGAGCTGACCAGGGACTGTCTCAAAACAGAAAGCTAAATCGGCTGAGCCTAGCTCAGCAGACAGCAGGTGGGGGGTGTGATGATAACCCACACGTGCCTGAAGAGCATCAGCACAGCGGCAGATACGTTACTCAAAGTGCGGTAGAGGGAAGACCCACGGTTGGGGGAGACCGCTAACGGGCACCACCACGGGATAAGCCCAGTTTGAGGTTTGGTGTTGGGCTGGTGAGGGGGTGATGATGAGTTTGCCAGAGTCCCTGGCAGCTGGGGACCACCCTTTCCCCCCACCAGTGCCCTGTGCCTTACTTGTAGGGGTTGATGTTGCAGATGGTGACGGCGGGGAAGGGCAGCTTCTGGAACTGGACGGTGACGGAGACCGAGGCGCTGTAGTAGTTCATGAGCAGTTCCGCGCACTGCCAGAGGATCAGCCCGACGGCGCTCAGGGTCAGCAGGATCCAGATGAAGCGGCGCAGGCGGCCCCGGGACACCACGATGCGGCGGCAGCCGTGCGTGTTGGTGTTCAGGCAGTACCACCGCATCAGCTCGCT